ACTAGACCCAAGCATAAAACCACACTGTTCAAGGCTCATAAGCCGCTGAGTACTCTCTTAAATGTTTCTAAAAGCACCACATTCAAAATGCTTACCCTGAAGAGACTTCCTACGAATCCAAAGCCATTACCTTCTCCTTCCTGACACTGATATATAGAATCCCAGAATTAATATAGAAAATACCACAAGTATTGCCATCTTCCAATGAAAACTCAGTTTCTAGCCACATATACAACTTGAAGATACCCAGTTGTTACATGTAAAATCTTGACCCATTAGAACCATTCACGAGAGTCATCTACCCTACTCAAACTGCAATTAGCCTGATCAAACGAACCGAACAACCCATGCCTCATTGGCACTCTGACACCGCAGAATGTGACATCATTCCATTACAACCAAGCAACTTCCTGCTCTATGCACCGAGCATCCTTTACCAACAACGACTCAAGACATCCCGTGATTCTCACACACCTGTGAAGCATCCTATAATCTTTGTTAAGAATTTTCCTTTACTCGAGCCATCCTCGGTCTCAATCTCCGTAGGCCATAACCGATTCACCTAGATGCCTCAAACTGGAATCGACATAGCACATAACCGTGCAATCAACTAATCAATAAGAGACTCCCCCATTTGGCTCGAAGCCATAGATCAACACATGCTCAATAACTTATAACGCTTATACTCTATTGATGCCATAATACCATAGTGAGATTAAACTCAAAATCCTTTGCAAGCTTGTGAAAACACAGATCATCTAGAATTTTAACTCTTCTGCAAATCTCGCATTCACTCTCACAACAGTTACACCCACTCTGTAAGTGACCCAATTTAAATTACAACACATATCTTTCGCTCGCAAATGAGATCTTCTAACAGACACATAAGGATCGCTCAACCTCAGAACACTTCGCATGAGATAACCCACCTACTTTGCCTCCAACTAACATTTCTGTATACCTCCCCACCGTCATAAACTGTACGCAGTCACTTAGTCTTCCTAAGTCTGAACTCATACCGCAACATGAAATTTACTTCACTCACAATTGGGAAACATGAAAAGATTCTTCACACGCCCATAACTCGGGGCTATACCTCCAATCGAGATGAAAATCAAGCACCTAATAGTTCTTCTATCCTCCAGCAGACCCTTCTTGTCTCATCCAAATCATATGGGTACATCTCGCAGTATTAACATACTCATCACATAGCCATCCCGCCATCATATCCACTAATAGGGACACTGCCGAAAATATAAATTCAAAAATACTTGCTCACACAATCAGCACCTCGGTGCTCAAGACATAGGCAAAGATCCGACCTCAAGTCCTCCGGACTGGCCCAACATCAACTCACAGAGATCACATTTCGCCCCTCGATTAGGGAATCACAAGCCATCAATTCATATCTGATACTGAGTGCTCATATGCGCATACGAACGCGTGGAAGGAATTCAAGGAGTTACATTTCAAGCTGAATCAAGGACGCACGATAAGAATTCAAGAATGTGAAGTTTTTCCTAAAGGTTCTGCAGCCTCTCGAGGATAAATACAAACATCTCCGTACCGATCCGCGAGACTCTACTAAACCTGCTTATGACTTGTGAGACCTATGTATCCTAAGCACTGATACCAACTAGTCACGACCCTAACCCGGACCCGATCGTGATGGCTCCTCTCGTGAAGATAAGGCCAACTAACTATTCACAGTTCGACGTTAAACAGTTAAAAAAACAGCAGTAAAACAGTCTAAGACATTATTAATAATACGAAGTAGCAGATAATATCGATAAAAATGCGGAAATACAACCCAACACAGCCCTAACCAAGGTGTCACAAGTCACGAGCATCTACTGGGGTCTAAATACAACTGAAAAGTCTGAACATACAAAATACGAACTAATGAAATAAAGAGGGAGAAAAGCAGTGCTGCGAACACCGGCAGCTACCTTGCTAAACTTTGATGACTCTGCTTCCGATCAGCCAATACCCGCTATCGGGTTCAAAAATACCTGAATCTGCACACAAGGTGCAGGGAGTAAAGTGAGTACTCCAACTCAGTGAGTAATAATCATAACTAAAGTCTATGGTAAGAAATCACGAAAAGTGCATCAACATGTTGTATAGAAGCAGTTCAAAAACTAGTAAGAAAGCAATGAAGCTGTAAAATCTCTTAAAATGTCTTAGCTCAGTTTAAACTTCTTTGAAAATGACTTTTTCAATAGTTGTGCAAATGAATGCAAAACAATTAGTGCAGATAAGCATAGAAATCGCCCCTCGGGCACAAATACACAATTAAACAGGTATATGACAGGCAAATAAGAAAGATAAGCACATAAGGTTCGCCCCTCGGGCAATATCTAAGAACAATACCAGCCCCTCGGGCTATATCTCACATCACAATGGGTACCCGCGCTCACTGGGGGTGTGCAGACTCCTGGAGGGGCCCTTTACGACCTAAGCGCAATATCAAGCCACCTCGTGGCATCATAAACAGGCTCTCGGCCTCATATCAATATCAACAAACCACCTTGTGGCGTACATATCTCAGGCCCTCGGCCTCGTAATCAAATTAGTGTATCACCGCTGCAGTGTGCAGCCCGACCCAAAAGTATCCTCACAACACAGGCCCTCGGCCTTACTCAGTCAAAAATCATATAAGCCACTCGAGCAACAGTAAAACATGATGCTCAACCCAAAATATGATTTAAAATATCGCTTCAAGTGTTAAAGTAGAGTAAACATGATTGAGTTTTGAAAACAGTAGAATATAGCATGACTGAGTACAAGTTTAAAGTCAAAACAGTGAGAAAATATCAATAAAAATCTTTGAAGGGTTTAAATAGTTGGCACGAAGCCCAAATATGGCATTCAGCCCAAATAATGATGATAGCAAATAGATTTCAGTCAAATATGCGGTAAAATCATCAATCAGGACGGACCAAGTCACAGTCCCCAATAGTGCACGACCCCACGCTCGTCATCAAGCATGTGCCTCACCTTAATATAGTACTACGATGTGCAATACGGGGTTTCAAACCCTCAGAACATCATTTACAATCATTACTCATCTCAATCCGGTCCAACCTCTTGCCCACGATGCCTTCGCCCACACAAATCGACCTCCGCATGCTCTAAATCTAGCCACAATCAGTACATAATCATTAAAATATGCAAAGGGAACGAAGCCTACTCAAAAATATCCAATTTACATCTAAATCCCAAAATTGCTCAAACCCGGCCCCTGGGCCCACGTCTCGAAACTCGATAAAATTAACATCAATGGAATCTTCATCCTCTCATGAGTTCATACATATCAAATTTACCAAAATCTAACCTCATCTGGTCACTCAAATTCTAAATATTCACTCTCCAATTTAAAGCCCTAAATTCCCAACTCTTCCTCTAATTTCCCCCAATTTTTCATGATTAAACAATGATATAATCACCATAAACACAAGGTATAAAGCCCAAGTAGCTTACCTTTGTGGATACACTTGATCCCCTCTTGAAATCATAGCTTGGAGCTCCAAAATCGCACAATAATGGTGAACAAATGACTAAAAATCGCAAAGGGCATTTTTATATCCTCTGCCTAGCTCTTTCGCACCTGCGATCCTATAAGCGCATCTGCGCCTCCGCTACTATGGAAAAACATCCCTTCTGCGAATTTCACTTATGACACTACGACCCGCATCTGCAGTACCGCATTTGCAGTCTCTCGCCCGCTTCTGCGGAAATCACTAAACAACCGAAATTACGCATCTGCGATCACACTTTCGCATCTGCGGCTCCGCAGATGCGGTCCACATAGCCGCTTCTGCGGTTCCTTCTCCTCAATCCCTTTTACGCTTCTGTGACTAAAACTACGCTTATGCGGAATCCGCAGGTGCAAAAATACTAGAAGTAGTAAATTTAGCAGCTGCAACAAAATCCAAACTTGAAATTACCCTGAGGCCCCCGGGACCTCGACCAAAAGAACAAACATATTCTAATACCTTATTCAAACTTGTTCCGATCATCGAAAAACCTCAAACAACATCAAATCACCCAAAACACATCGGATTCAAGCCAAACTTTCTAAAATCTTCCGAATTTCGCTTTTGATCAAAACCCAACCAAAACATGTTCGAATGACCTGAAATTTTGCACACACATCCCAAATGACATAACGAAACTACTGCAACTTCCGGAATTCCATTCTGACCTCTATATCAAAATCTCACCTATCAACCAGAAAACGCCGAAATCTCAATTTCGCCAATTCAAGCCTAAACCTTCCACAGACTTCCAAAATGCATTCCGATCACACTCCTAAGTCCCAAATCACCTAACGGAACTAACCAAATCATAAAAATTTCGATCTGAGATCATCTACAAACAAGTTAAATCTTGGTCAAACCTTTCGAATTACAAGCTTCAAACTGAGAACTGTTCTTCCAAATTTCATGCCGATTTACCCTGAAAACCAAAACCAAATATTTACATGAGTCATAATACATCACACATGGCAAGTCATTCCCAAGAACTGGCGATCCAAGTGCAAAAGCTCAAAACGGCCGGTCGGGTCGTTATAGTGTTCAAGGTGGTGATAGCAACCATATTGGAGATATTGATTATTATAGTGTGCTCAAAGAAATAATAGAACTAGAATATACAGGTTGGCCATTTAAGAAGTTGATACTCTTTAGATGCAAGTGGTTTGACCCAAATCCAACAAGAGGTACAAGAGTACACAATCAATACAACATAATTGAGGTTAATCATACGAGGGAGTATGATCGCTATGATCCTTTCATAATTGCACATAATGTTAGGCAAGTGTATTATGCTCCTTATCCATTGCGGAGGAATAAGTCCGATTGGTGGGTTGTAATCAAATCTAAGCTTGTAGGTATAGTGAAAGTCGAGAAAGTGTTAGATATTGCATATCAAAACGATATCTCCAGTGTTCACCAAATAGTGGACGAACTTTTAGAAAATGATTTGGAACATCCTGAACACATATTGGAAGAAGTTGATATAAATGAAGTAAGAATTATAGAAAATGAGGAAGAAGAATCAACTGATGAAGCTCAAACTAGTGAGGAAGAAGATTCTCTAACGAGGTACAATACGTCGATGAGCTTTAAAAAGTTGGTTTCTTTAATAACTCTTGTTTATAGCTAGTTTCTTTATATGTTTAAATCTAAATATGTATTATATTATGAAGATGACAGGCAAGGGTCGAGGTAACAATGACCTTACTGGTTCTCGGGGTCGAGAAAAGGCTAGGAAACCAAAGAGGAGGGTAGAAAATAATACTCAATCTTTTCCACCCTCTTCAGAGATGCCTATGCCTATGTATTTACCTTCACCCGAGGGCTATTCTGAGCTGCCACGACATCACGAGCCCTACACCTTCGTGAAGACACCAGGTATTTCGTCACAGGGCCATATGACTATACGTCCAACATACAGTCCACCTCCCTCACGACCACGTGGATCGCAACCATCTGCATCGCATGGATCGCATCGATCCATGTCACATCCACATGGATCACAGCTACTCAGATCACAGCCACCCGGGTCGCAACAATCAATATCACAGCCACTTAGGGTCCATCCAGCTATGTCGCAGTCACAGGGATCGCAACCATCTTCATCAGGGACTCCATCTATTTCAGGCCTTCTCCTGCGAGATACTAGCTCTGACCCCCCTACACCTTCCAAACATGCCTCTGATATACATGTTTCGGACGGTGATGCTGATGATGACGAGAAGGTGCATTATGATCAATATGGCAGGATCATCATAGTCCATGAGGGTGATGGGTAAGAGTTATTTGTTATTTTTACGTTTATTGTTTTGTACAATTTTTACTAAGATATTAATGTGTTTTTTTATTAAATTGCAGGTTCATCCCGAGTAATATTACTACGAGGATAATCACCAAAGCAACCAAAAAGCTTTATGATGGCCCTTATGCAACTTGGAGTAAATTCCCATTCTCGTTGAAGGAGCAAATTTTCAATCAATTTAAGGTATAAATGTTCTTTTAAGCAGTATAATTATTTATATTTATGATATTTTCATATAATATTTAACTTTTGAAATACAAAGCAAGTGTGTATGGGAACATCGCTATAGCGCGGAAGTGGCTGCAAATTTTCTTCTCAAAGCTCGCAAGCGGTTGTCGCATAGTTTCTCCAAAGCTAGAAAGTTGAACCAGAAGCTTGACTGGTTGCTTCAGAATTTATGGGAGGATTTGCAAAGGCAATGGCTTACCGCAAAGTTCTTAGAGAAGAGCGAAAAAGGAAAGAAAGCTCGCGCATCTGAGAAGGGAGGATCCTTGCACACTGGAGATGCGATCAGCCTAGGGACAATAAAAAGAAGAATGATACGTAATTGCTAAATTTATTTTAATTTTCAAAGTATATCTATTCTGTTTATTAACTAAAATTTATGAGTTTTCAAGAAAAGAAGTAGGGGTGTCCGATGAACCAAGATGAGCTATTCAAGGAGACTCATATTGTAAAGAAGAAGAAAGAGACGGATCAAGAAAGGTGGATCGAGGGCCGAGCCTCGACTGTACATGTAAGTTTTCACTTTTCATTAAGTATTTTGATTTAATTTTATTTAAATTTTGAAATACTAAATTCAATGTAATTTTTCTTATAGGGTCGCTTCACAGCTGAAGTGGAGGAATTCATACGCAGTCAACCACCTAATGAGTCAGGCGAGCCAATCCAACCTTCAGACGAGGATGCTGAAAGAATGTGGACGGAGACTGCTGGCGGTCCAAAATGGGGGAAGGTATGCGGGCTTCTTACTAAGAAATTCCATCGCTATAAGTGTGGAATGCAAGGAATAGGGACTTCCTCGCAAGCTGAGCAACTTGATGGGGAGATCCTCTCCGCTATGTGGGAGACTATGACAAAGCTCACATCCGAGCTAGAAGCGGCCAAGGAAAGAGAAAAGCTTAGAGATGCTTAGTACATTGGCATGCAAGCTCAGTTCCAGGGCATGCAAGAGCAGCTCAAATCTCTCCTAGCTTCTGGAGGTTTTCCGATTCCCCGGTCTCGTGAGTCATCGCCAGAGGCTCAACTTCCCCGTGCTCGTTCCTCCCGTCCTCCCCGTGATCGTTCTTCCTATCCTCGACAAGTAGACCCTTCTGGATACCGTCTTAGTGATGAAAGTTCGTCAGACGGTGATGATAATGATGTACAAAACACTCCTTGACTTTTATACACTTTGAACTAGACAAATAGAACCGGTTTTTGAATGGGCTTGTAATAAGAGTTAACTTAGTTTGGTTAGCTTAATGTGTTAGTTCTATTGAACTTTATACTTTGTTGGTTTTAATGTTGTTGTTAATGTTGTTGTTGTTGTGTTATCGTGTTGTTGTTCGTTTTGTTATTGTTGTTGCATGTAATAGGGAATTTGGTATGCTGGCAGGTGGTGTAGCTGCCAAAACAGACAGTTTCTGCCAAAATTATACTCAGAAAAGCGACCAACTTCGCTTGTTGGTCGTTTTTTTATTTAAAAAAATATTTTCTGGGCAATAGCGACCAAGGTTGGTCGCTATTTAACCCAGATTTCTTAAAAAGCGGCCAACCTTGGTCGCTATTCTATTAAAAAAAAGTAATTTCTGGAAAATAGCGACCAATTTTGGTCGCTTATGTTTAAAAAATAATTAAATTCTTGAAATTAGAGACCAATTTTGGTCGCTTATGTTTAAAAAATAATTAAATTCTTGAAATTAGAGACCAATTTTGGTCGCTTATGTTTAAAAAAAAATTTAAAAAATTATTTTCTAGATTTTAAAATATAATATTTGGTTTACAGACCAAAGTTGGTCGCTATATTTTGATTAATAATAAATAAAAAAATGTAATTTAAATATAGAGACCAACTTTGGTCGCTAAATTTGTATTATTAAAATATTAAAGTGACCAAAGTTGGTCGGTATATTGTTTGCCCAGAATATTTGGTCCTTTTAGCGACCAACTTTGGTCCCTAATGTAAAGGGACCAACAAAATAGCGACCAAACCTGTTTGGACGTTTTTTGGTCGCTTTTTGACCTGTAAGCGACCAACTTTGGTCGCTTTTTGTGGTCGCTTTTTTCCGGATTTTTAGTAGTATAAATAAGGAACTCATAAAAATAAATATAAATCATTTAATAAGTTATACCAACTCTTAGTGCTAAACATGTGCACTAGTTGTAATTTTATTTAATTATAATTTTATTTATAGGAAATTTTTATATTTATTTTAGTTTATTTATTCTTCTGCTTCAAAATTTTCTTAATTACTTAATAGATGAAGTTTCATTTGTGTAGAATTTTCATTATATAATTTCCTTTTAGTATTTATGTTTTAATATGTACCTCAGAGGGGATGCGAGTATTAGAATTCCATAATATAGGGATATAAGTGTTTGATTTTAGAATAGAAATGGTATATTTAAAATTGAGTCATATTATAGGAGTGTTAGTGTAATTAACTCTCACAATTATGATGTAGTTGGATAATTGATAGCGTCTAATTTACAAGAAAACAAAGAAATTACTAAATACTAGTTTAAATCTGTTAGTAGAAAAGTTATGTTAATTTTTAATCTCATTATTTATCTGAGTTTTCGGAAATAGTCTCTCTACCTTTATAAGGTAGGGGTAAGTCTGCGTAAGTACTATACTTCTCTGGCCCTAGTTGTGGAACTGTATGTTGTTGTTTCTTATTTGTTTGAGGTAGTTTGTTCTCCTGAAAACACGGACAACTTTTTTCATATGCTAGTACTAAGAGCCTTTGGCCATGGGAATTTTTATACTTTTTTCGAAATTAGTGTTTGATCATAAAATTTTTAATTTTCATTTGAAAATGAATTTTGAAATTTTTTGAAAATTTTAAAAACTCCAAGAAGTCGTTTTTCAAAATTTTCACTCATATCACTCACAAAATTCAAAAGCAACCCAAAATTATATTCATATCCAAACACAGCTCTAATTTTCAAATATTATTTCACTTGATTTTTTTTAAAACTTTTTTTCAAGATTTTACAATTCTTATCTCCAAACGCCCACTAAGATCGGCACGTGTACTTATTTATTATCAACAAACAGCAGCCGGAACATAAAAATAATTCTTCAATATTGGAGTAATTTGGAACATAAAAATAATTTAGCAACAACATTTGTCTTGATTTTTGCAAAAACTATTTTTCTCAATATTTTGAACCAAACGTCCTAATAAATTAGGAAAGTAAAATAAATCAATCGGAAAAGGAATTAGGGAAACTGAAATTTCCAATTCCCAGTCATTCAAGGAAACCAAAAGAAAACAGAACATTCCAATTCCTACTCACCGACGGAAACCAAATTCTCTTCCTATAAATTCAGTTGCAACGCCTCAAAATTTTCATTCACCAACATCAATATCTCTCCTTAGAATCAGAATGGCACCAATTACAAATTTAGAGAAAAGCGATTCAAGAAGGGTGATGCTTTCAAATGCAATAAAAGCAGTAGCATTCAAGAAACAGCAGGCACCAAAAGCACCATTTGAAAAGGGCGATGAAGTTGAAGTAGCAAGTCAAGAATATGGCTACATTGTGGTTCTTACTACACAGCAACTATTGTTTCTTCTGTTGGCGCTTATCATTACAGAGTCAAGTACAAGACTCTGTTGACTGACGATGAATCTGCGCCATTAGAGGAGATTGTCACTGCCGGCGAAATCCGTTCCGTGCCCCCTCAACATCCAGAAAACAACTTCCGTTTGTACGGTATAGTTGATGCATTTGACAACGATGGTTGGTGGTTAGGGTTTATTACTGGGAAAATTGGGACAAAGTACGTTGTCTACTTCCCTACAACTGCGGATGAAGTTGCATATCCTCCTGAGGTTTTGAGGTTTCATCAAGAATGGTATAATGGCAACTGGGTTTCTTCCTATTAGAAAAGCTGGGTGGATTATTGTCTTAAAATTTACTTTTTTGGTTTCAAGAAATAAAAAAAAGAAGAATTGGTGTTCAGAAATTGTATATTCGTGTAGTCGAGTGATTTATTATTTTCTTCCTATAGTGTTAGTTTCCAGGTTGTTTGTTTCCTCTGGTGTAATATTAATGTGGCTTATTGAATTTTAAAATTTGTATTTTGCATGTCGAGTATATACTTACTTTAATTTGGAAAAAAACCATAAATAACTTCTTAGATGGGTAAAAATGTTACCTTATCTCGTTATCTTAATTGAATTGAAATATTTTTTAGTGCCTGGTTTTGATAAGTTTTCGGAAAAATGTTTCAAGACTAGAAAGTAACATGTGTTCGTAACGTCGTTTTGCACAAGAACATTTTTTTAAAACATATCCAAAATCTTTTTTTTTTTTTCGAAATCAAAATCTAAACCTCTTAAAACTAGGTTGTTACCAAATTAACACAGATGTTCAGGAAAAAGTCAAATCGAAAGGTAATTCCAATACATGACTTTTTTCTAAACTTGTTTTCGAAAAACTTTTTCAAATCAAAATTCTTAAACAACTAAATCAAAACCAAATTCAAACCATTTAATAAATGACTGATATGAGAAACACACAGAAAATATTTGTACACCCATTATACCGGAGCTCTTCATCGTTATTCGTTAATAAGTATCTAGAAAATCTTATTTTCCTAAAGCTGTAGATAAGAATGTCAATCATACTTCCAGCCATATTTCCATGAGTTATAATTCCTATAAACTGTATTCCTAACATTTATGTTGCAAATAAAAAATCGGAAAAAGAAAATCCTGCAAATTGACAAGCAGCAATGGATCTGACATTAGCTGCTGTTGAGAGTTGAGACTGCCCAAACAGAATTCCAATTCCAATTAATCCCCTGAGATTTCATATCTACATGGGACTACTCACGAGTGAATCCATAATTTAAATTTGATAGTTTCGATCAATTCGTTCTTACTATTGAATCCATTATATTTTTAAAATTATGAATTCAGATCTTAATACTTTTTAAAAAAATAGTGTTATATATATATACGCGATCTAGTTGAACCGGTAGAATATATGCTACATCTGCCACTAGGACTACTAAGGAGTCATTTGGTTGGAAAAAAAGTTATCGAATAATTAATTATTTCGGAATTAGTTATCACACCCTCCCATAGAGATAAAAAAAATAGTATAATCCTGAGATTAGTTATACCACGATTTTATCCTAATCAAATGTGACACAAACTCATCTCAAATTTAATCCCGAAATTAATTATCCTTTATCCCTTGTTTCAAACTAGCCTAAGGGTTGGCTTAACCCCAAGCCACTATTCAACTTTACAATTGGTAACATATAGCATGCAAGTGAAAAAATTGAAGCTGTATGTTTTTCGTGGAAATCACGTCTTTATTTTGTTTTCCTTCTTTCTCTTGAACGAAATCTAAGTGCCCAACTGAGTCGATCAAAAATTTATAAAAATGTGATTATCTACTTTGTATTTAAGAAGAGATAAGAATAAGCTTTGAATAAATTATATAAAGGTTCTATTAATTTAAGGTCCTTTAAAAATTTTAATTTTAGACATCGAGCCGCCCTGGATTACTTAGGAGTCATTTGGCACAATAGTGGAATAAAACGGGATATTCCGTGAATGAAAAATCTGATGGGGATTAGCCATCCCATCTTTTATATGAGATAGCTAATCTCATCATCTTAATATAAAATTATCTCGTAATTAGCTAATACCTATACCAAACATGGAATAAATACAATCTCAAATTCTATTAGTGTTTAGACTCATACACAGGCCCCTAAAATAAGTAACATTTGCGCTTCTCACTACTAGAAATCCGGAATTTAGCGACCAAACTTGGTCTGCCCAGATTAGCGACCAAAGTTGGTCGGTAAAGGGGAGAAAAATATTTATATTTATTTTATATAAATTATGGTCAACAGGTTGAGCCAGATGGTCAGCATTGTGTAGTCAAAGAAAATTTCACATTACCCACCAACTTTGGTCGATAAAGTGGGACCTAGTTAAAAGATTTTAATAATTATATTATTATTTAAAATATTTTATGAAATATAAAGAAATTTTATTTAAAATTATCGACCAAAGTTGGTCGGTTAATACAGGGGAAGCATTTACCGACCAACTTTGGTCACTTTTTTTTAATATCTGGAAAGTAACCGACCAACTTTGGTCGGTTATTTGGTCAACATTGGTCAAAATTTAAAGCACTTTTATATTTACTATCTAAATAATATAAATGTAATCCGTTAACAC